TCTTCCCTCCCTCCCTCCCTCCCCTCCCCCATCACTCTCTGCTGGCATCCAGTCCCATTCTACCACCATCCCAGGTGCAGACATTCCTGTGCCCCGCCCCCACCCACCCCCAGAGTAGGCTAGGGGCCAAGGAAGGGGCCACACGTTTTCTGGGGCCCAAGAAAGGGCCTTAAGGTCAGTGATATATGTCAGCCCATTCCTCATGATTTGCCTTGTGGGGACCCAGGATGTATTTGTTGGAGAAGATTCTGAGATCATGTAGAAGCCCCTCCTCGGTAAACAGCGGTCAAGTAAGACCAGCTTGTTTTTAATTCCGTAGTCTAGGGGGTGATGGTCCAGAGCCTGTAAGACGGACAGCTTAGCTTCATACACAACTTCCAGGTCTGGATAGAGTGGCTGCTCCCGCTCACATGAAAAGATGAGGAAGTGTGAACTCTTTCCTGTGAAGGGCCGGAGGCAGATATGTCTGTTGTTTCTGATAGCATCTTACTGGTCCGGACTTAGCTGCATGGCTACAGGTAGTTGCAAGGAGAACTGGGAAATGTAGTTTTGAGCAGGGCTGCTATGTGCCTGCCTCAGTTTGAGAGTTCTGTCTTACCAGCAGCACCTTTGTGGGAGGGGTGCAAATGATTGCTCATCATGGGACCCTGCTTTCTCTCTGCCTGCCCCACGGTTGAGGCACAGTCGGGACTTGCAGGTGTATGGGAAGAGTGGGTGGCCTCTCCCTGAGGCCCCTGACGTTCCCTTGATGCCAATTTGCAGGGCTATCTGTGGAATGGTCCGTGTTTGTGCGTGTGTGTATATTTATGGGCATGGGTGCATGCTTGGTGTGTATTGTACATGTCTGTATCCATGTGTCCCTGTACTAAGATGATGCTCACGTGTGTGTAGGAGTATAAGGCTTGGCCGTCCTCTTCCCTAGGACCTGGAGCCTATAGTCTTGTCTCCTGTGGCTCCTCAAGATGCCTGAGGCAGGAAGTCCTTTGGGGGACCTTGAAAGCAGGGCTAAAGGGAGTACAGGGTCTGTCTGTCTGTCTGTCTGTTTTTCAGACTGAGGAATGGAATCTTGCTAGCTAGAGGGCTATGCAGCTGAGAGACCACCACCCCCTCGGCCTCTCTTCGCCCACTGGTACCCTAGCACCTCCTGGATGATCTCATATTGGAGGCTTCCTGAGGGCTTTCTTCTGATTCAGCTCTGTCTGGAGCCGTTTACCATCCGGTGCGGTGGGCGTGGTGTGGGGGCAACTCTGGCGAACAGGCACGAAGCAGGCTGAGGGGCTCTCTGGCTCCACTCCTCCCCTTGAGGGGGGGGAACCCATGAAACCTCCCTTCAAAGAACTTCCCTCTCTGGTTCCTCTTGGGACTGAGAGGTGGCCCCAGAAGTCAGGATGTCCCAGAGGCTTATGGGTCCATCTGTGCCAGGGCATTCCTCTGAGATGCCTGTGGGTGCTCCTGTGGGATGCCTCCCCCTCAAATGAAATCCTCACTCCACACTCTTGGTAACCTCAGCTGCTTCATAGATACCCCATTTCAGGCATTTCAGGGCTCCTGCGCACAGGTGACCAGTTCAGGGATGCTGGGAAAGCACAGATCTAATGGGCTGGCCTTCTCTCTCAGACCAGTAGGAGGAAAATAACCATTTCAACCAGGCAGGAAGAGGCCTGGTCGTGGGCTGAGAGACCACCCTGTGAGAGGTGAGGGCTAAAAAGTTTCACATCTAACTACAGCATACACTGGGAATTTGAGGGGCAGGGGACCCAGGACCATACCCTCAATATGAAGGGAAACTCTTTTGAATGTGAATGTGGGCGCATTCTCCAGGAACCACTGGCCTGTGACCTCTAAACCCAAGGAGGCCTGTTCGTTCCAGGCATCCAGCTGACCTCGTTCACCCAGGGGTCACAGCAGTTATAGGAGGCAGGCATGATGAAGCTTTGCGGGCGCAGGTGAGATCGAGGGTGGGAAGACAGGACCCACCCAGGCAGAAGGCAGGGCCCTGGGAAATGTGTAATTTAAGGACACCAACAATAATAATAGTATTATTTTTTTTGTAAAGGAAAATCAATATGTACATTCTGAAATCATTTTCTCTGTAAATGGTTGAATTTCATTTCACCCTTAAAGGGATGCTTAAAGGAGAAGATAATATTAATAATAAAAACAGCTGCGAAGTCTGGAGGGTGTGTGTGTGGCCAGTTTGTGGGTACTCTGGGGCAGAGATGGGTGTGAGCAGAACGCAATGGTCTTGCTTCCCAGTCAGGACCTATGGGGCGTGAGGCTCTCCCAAGGACTGGATGGGTGGGGAGAAGGAAATTACCCAGTCCCTTCACTTAGGGGTGTGGTCAACCCCCAACTTGGCTTGTTTCCTACCTGTGGATGGTATTACAGATACTAGGCCCCCGTTCAGTGGGAAGAAGAAGGAAGCTTGTATTCTAAAGCTGGTGGCACCTTCTTCTGGGACCAAGAGGACCCTCTAGGGATCCAGGTAAGGCATTGGTGGTTACTCCCACAGTTCTGCTTTGGGTACCCCTCACAACCAGTGTCTGTCAAAGGTTCTCGAAATGCCTCAGCCATGATCACACAACTGCTTAAGCCTGGACCTGGGGGATGACAAGTGACCTCTTGTCTTGGAATGACCATCTCTGCCCTTGGTCCCTGAGGCCTCGGAGCACAGAGCTTCTTGTCCCTAGCTGGGTCCTGCGGGCAGTCCCAGAGATGGCGGATCAGACCTTTGTAGGGCAACTGTGTCACCTCCACAACGTCCCGAAGGTCCAGAAGCCAGAGGGTGACAACAGTGTTAGTGGCCTGACGCCTGACCTGAGACCAGAGCTGCCCAGGTCTCTGGACACACTCCCAAAGTCCAAAGGGAGCTGAGTAGGTAGGGGATTGGGGTAGGGTGGAAATGAATTCTGTAGAACCCAAGAAGTGAAGATGAAGACACCCCAGCCTGGCCAGAAGAGGGCGACAGCGACCCATTCACCATCAAGTTTTACAAATCTAGTTTGTGTTGGGGGTGGATCTTCATTATCATCAGTATTTACAAAAAAAATACGTATATTTGCAGGCATTAGTTATTAAATATTAAGCATCTTCAGCCAAATTCTAGACTGAAAAATCTGCTCCATCGTGCCCATTTGACAGATGTGGAAAGTGAAGCCTAGATACCCCACACCTGCCTCAGACATCGGTGCAGCACATGGCAAGTTCGAGTTCACCTGTGGTCAGCGGCTGATGGCACTGTGGGACTGCACTTCCTGCGCATTGGCAGGCTGAGGAGGGAGACAGGAAGAGACAGAGGAGAGGATAGGCACCGTGACGTAGCTAAAGCTGCTCGCCAAGCCAGGCGTGGGCCCAGGTCGGGGGACACGGGACAGTCTCTGCTGTTCAGATGCTGGCAGTTATGGGGGGACACAGGCAGGGGAGTGCAAACCCTGAATGGTGAGGTGAGGGCTGGGGCACAGGTATCACACCCCAGCAAGTACGCTGTATTGTGTCTTCCTCGATGGCTGTCTGGGTAGGTGTGGGTACCAGCAGGCTCCATGACCCCAGGTCAGGGTATTCTTTGACTGTCTCCAGCCTCTAAACATGAGGCATACAGTGCTTGAGTGCATAAAGAGGACTAATGATATCTGTAAACCTTCATCCAGAGGGGACAGCTGAGAGCCACGTGGATAACAGCTGCCAGATTCACCATTAAAATGCCACTGCCAAGGGACTGAGAAGTGGCTGGGGACCTAAGTTTGATTCCCAGCACACACATCCAGTGGTTGTGGCAAGCTCTGTGGGATCCAAGTCCACTGGCTTCCTAAGGCATTTGTGCCGTGCACAAACCCTTACACACATACACATAATTTTTTTTTTGTTTTTTTGTTTTTTGAGACAGGGTTTCCCTGTGTAGCTTTGTACCTTTCCTGGAACTCACTCTGTAGACCAGGCTGGCCTCAAACTCACAGAGATCCACCTGCCTCTGCCTCCCGAGTGCTGGGATTAAAGGCCTGTGCCACCACCACCCGGCCACATATACATAATTAAGCATAAAAAATAATAGATTCTGGGGCTGGAGACATGATGGTTCAGCGATTAAGAATTCTTACTGGTCTTGAGTGAGATCCAGGACAGGCACCAAAACTACACAGAGAAACCCTGTCTCGAAGGAAAATAAAAAATCCAAGAGATTCAAATATATCGAGAAGTTAATTCCTTTCTATTATAAAATGTAGGGGCTGGCTGTGGTACCACACACCTTTAATCTCAGCACTTGAGAGGACAAAGCAGGTGGGTACCTATGAGCATGACGCTAGCCTGGTGTCCAAAGTAAAGCATGTCAATCCTCCCTGTCAACAAAACCAAAACCAAACAAACAAACAAAAAACAATACTGCACCCAGGCTGCACCCTGATCCAGCCTCCTGAGCTCACGTTAAGCCACTGAGCTATGAGGTACCTTAATTAGACTAGGTTCAATTAGACTTGTAAGTGACTGATACACTTTGTTTTTAATAAACGACAGAAAAGCCAACCCCAACTACAAAGGCAGAGAAGGAATTTGCTGGCTCGTTGACAGTCAAGATCCAGGTGATGTCTGCTTCCATGTGGCTTGAGGCACAGGTCATTGCCATAGTGTCCTCTCTCTCTAGAGCTGGCTGAACTCTACTTTCCAGCTTCTGGGTCGCTCTAGAGGTTGTCCTTGGACTTCTGAGTTGGTCACAAGTGGCTCCAATCTTCACATTCTCTTTTCTTCAGACTTAGCACAGAAGAAACAGGCCTTTCCTTTAGAGTCCTGAGCCTGGGGACTTGGAGACAGTTTAGTTGTAAGGTACTTGAAACACAGGGATGGGGGCCGGAGTTCAGATCCCCAGCATCCATGTTAAAAAAAAAAAAAAATGGGCATATTCTTAGAATCCCAGCACTGGGAAGGCAGAGACAGCAAGGTCCCTGGAGCTGGCTGGCCAAGTAGTCTGGCTCATGGGTGAGGTCCAGGTTCAGTGAGGGAC